CCGACTGGTGCAAGGATTTTCGTACTCAGAGAAAGTATGTCAAACCTTGTCAGTTCATGATCTAAAAACTCTTTCGCAAACTCTTCAAAGTCGTATCCACACAAATCTGTAGAAATGAGCCGCCCGTAAAACATGTTTTAAGAATGTCTGTCTTCAGTATCAGCAACCACAACAGGCTAAATGTACATTCAGGTGCTGGGGATACATGTACCTGTCTGCATTAATACGCAGTCTATGCCGAGAGAACAAAAACTGAAATTGAACACTAATTTGTGCTTCAACTGCCTCCATAAATTGAAAAATGCGTCACTGAACTCTTCACGAGATTATCAGACTCCTGAATGACAATGAAGTGCTTTTGACGAAAACTGAAACACCAGAAACCCACAGCAAAGACACAACGTGTACATGTATATATATCATATGGTTTATCTATCAGTTTCGGGACTGACTTATTCTTGTGTCTTACTTTTTATGTGTGTGAAAAGTCGACCTATTCTATGGTCAACAGGTCCCTCACTTCGGGCTTTGTTCCGACTTCCTTCAATGCATGTGTAATCTCTTCTCTCACAATGTCATTGTAACTAAATATGGCTCCTTCTAGTGGTAGCTTTTTATGCAAATATATCTGCAGCAAAGCGCCATGCAGCATTCATGCAGTGACATGCTGTTCACATTTGTTAAAAATGCATCACCCTGCTTTGTTGGTAAATTCCTTATATCATCAGGCAAAATTTCTTAACTTGTTTGGCTTGTAACCTGGAGACAGTTTGCAAAATATTCAATGAGCCAATTGCGAGTTAAATTTGAATAAAATCTGGTGCACTGATTAACTGCCTACACATAAACACAACGATTTGAATTCCCCAGACTAAAGACACTGTGCCATATCTCATGATTCGGGGCAAGATTTCGCATAGCGACCACCATCTCTGGAATGGACTGGTTCCTTTGTGCCCTTCTTATCCATTGAGAACAGTGTATTGCTGCAAGGCGTTGCCTATGTAACTAAGTAAAAGCTTGCCCCGAATCATGAGGCATAGCAAAAGTGGTTTTAGTAAGGAGAATTCAAGTTGTAATGTTCACGTGAATTTAAAGAACTCAGTGTACCAGATTTGGGTCAAAGTTAACTTGCAAAAGGCTTATTGCTTTCGATTTTGTTTTCCTGTTTCATGATCGCACAATTTTCGAGCACAGTCACTTTGAGGTTCGCGAAGAGCACTTCTCCTATGCACTTGAAATGACATGCACAAGGATTTATCCACTACGAACACAGGGCAAGGTCTCCCCTCATTTTCTGTGTTTTCTCAGAATGACGTAATCTACATTCAGAATTTGCATCTCGCCATGAACAGAAAAAAAGCCCTTTTTAGCTTGTTACAGTTGAGCTCTGAAGACAAATGACACTGCCTTCGATTTGGATGCTTCCATATTTAGTTGAACAGATAAAATCAGAGAAAACATGTTTTCCTTTGAGTTGCTCTTTAAAAAAACAACTCTTCAAAATGAAGCATTTTCACCATGTGATACCGAGCAAATTTACTGCCCTGCATTATTTGGCAACAAGAAAAGTACTGTCCAAACTATACACTGTGGACCTGGTTACCACACCTACCAAAAAGACGTGAGCACATTTATTTACCTTCATCATTAAGACTAACAATCAAGTTGGCATCTTAACAAAGTGGCTTATTAGAAATCCCTTTCTTCACACAGCAAATGCCAACATAAAATAGCCGAACATGGATTAATGCTCACGAGATTTACTAAAGGTATAAACTAACGAGGGAACCTATCAAACTGTGCACTATGCCTGAACTTTACAAATGAAAACTACCAATAAATTTCCCACACAAATGCTTTATACCGGTACAGCATTTCAATACAGGTACCTTTACACCGTAAATGTACACAAACGCATGGCTTTCTGCAAACACAACATCTTCTTTTGCGATAGGCAAATTCTGATAATTCCACTGTGTTGGCTAGCAAAGGAGAACTCACGAGCCCTGAAATTGAAGAATTTCCTTTTTTCAACAAGACAAAGGATGTTTGAGTACAATTTGGTTAACATTTCTGTACAACGTACAATAGTTTGACATGTTTTGAACAAAATGGGATGCAAGCAACCACCTTCTTAGCAATATAAAATTTACGTGCTGTAAACAGACAGCCTCATCATCTAATAATTAGCTTGCTTTACAAAACTACACGACATGTAACTAGAAAGTCAACACCTCTAAACTTAAGAGAGTCCTATGTTCAGGTGGTTAAGACATCTCCATTTGGGGTTAAGGGGGAAATACATATATGTGATGCAGTGACTGATGTCTGTGATTCTTTACATATGTGTGTCCAAGGTTCGAATCCAGCTGCTGGCTATGTGCACCAGGTTCTCTTACAAGGTACATCTACATGACCATATCACAAACGGGTCTTACACTGTAAATGGATGATGGCATAACTGAACTCCTGAATGACAAATAGAGTGATTTTGACCAAAACTGAAACACCAGAAAGCCACTGCAAAGACACAAGGTGTATTCAATCTTTCAGCTTCAGTAATTCTTCAATCTTGCTGTCCTTGTGGATATACCCGCACCAAACGGCTGTCCTCAAAGTCACAGACACTCCAGTAAGTGCTGTGCAGTACTTTATGCACGTTATTATAGCAGATTTCATGTGTGATTTCATTCGCTCATTACTTTGTGATTACACAGTGTAGAATTTTTTGTTTTATTGTTTGTAGTTGAATGTATTGTATGTAATTTGTTAAATGAGCTGACCTAACACAAGCCTTTGCTTTTTAGGCTTTTACCCCCTCTTCTTGTCTTTTTTATGATTAATTAATACATTTGTTTGCTTAATACTTTATGACTACTTAATACTGTATTATGTAGGCCTATGGCTATTATTAGAAGAGGAAATAAATGTCTGATGTCTGTCAGGCTGTCTGTCTGTCTGATTATCAATTTTGATTGTAAAAGCACTGACGGTAAATGTAGAGTACATACACCTGTCACTTTCTGTTCCATCAGGTATCCCATCATATTACAAACCTGTCAGGCAGATAAATATGCTACTTAAAGCACAAAAATCAGAAATTTTGTGCTTAGGAAACCACTGATTACCAGCCTAAAAGAAAGACAGATGGTAGTAAGTTTTCCAAGCAAGTTCCTGTACGCATTCTGCGTGTACGCAAAGACCATTCATTAAGGAATCGTTACATGTACTCAACGTGCTCCGAGTCAAACGCACCACTGATCCCATTATACACGAGTGCCTATGTGGTGAGTACTAAAAAAAAAACCACGCCCTCTTTTGTCCTGCTCGGAGTGGATAGCAACTAGGCTGATTAATCCAAATCCAGCCAGATATGTCATTTGTGAGATGAGCACATCCAGACCCAACTGAGCTTTATTTGTAAGCACAACAACTATTTAGACACTGACAGCTACGATCCAAAGTCCTGCTGATACTTTGGCTGCTCTTGTTTTGCTAGCTGATGCTCTATATGTTATGGATGATGAACAGCTGAAAATCTCTCCACTGCTATGACCAACACTTGGATGCAGTTCTAAGTACATCGCAGCAAACCAGCCATGATGACTCCATCATTAGACTCATGGTCAGTGTTTGCCATCCAATAAAGTACAAACACTGTGAGAGGTTGAAAACCTACTAAGCACAGAAAATATTCGCTTAGGAAAGATGCTACCAGGCCAAATGCCACGCAGTGTTTGTTGGTTGACCCGTCCTCAGCTGTTCCTTGGTTAGCACAATATTTGGTCCCGCTCTTATCACTACCCTACATTTACTGCACACTCTCACAGATCACACAATTCATGGACTTTCAGAGACCAATCCCAGAGATAAAAAAAAATACCGTCACATAATGAGCAAATCTGTAATGAAATAACCACAAAGTTAAAGCCGAAATCTATTTCTGAAAACTTCAAGAAATTGAACCTGGGAGTTTGCAGTCAATGACAATAGGCAGATTCAAAGACAGACTCTACATGAAATTCCACTTGCACTGTTCATTTTCACTTGAAAAAACTGTCTCTGTACAAAGAAATACCGCAGGCTTGTATCTACTGAGCATTAGCGTAAATGTTCCCATGTAAACCAGTTCACAACGGCACCATCTGCAGGGCATGCAGATAGACAAGCACATATACTTGCAATCAGAGAGGTATTTATCAATCAAGATAGAGGGGCTGAATCATTTTCTTCATACAATAAGGACAATTTGGGGGGATTTTTTTTATTTTTGTCTTCCCCAGAGCCTCTAAATTGAACCTCATGAATGGGAAAACCTATAAAACAACTGAAAGAAAGGAGCAAACCCTCTTATTCTCCCCCCAATTGCAACTTTTAGCCCCTCCCCCCAGAAAAATTTGGTTTTGTGTTTGCCCTCTCAAGTAGAGAGAAAACAATGCACATTACTGAACAAGTCCCACCATGACCTAATGTTCTCTGCGATAAATATCACTCTGTGCAGTTCATTGTGGGGAAAAACCCTGAGAAAGCCTTGGACAGCACACATCTCCACTCCCTATTTCCTCTACACTTTCATTGAGTTTCCCCACTTCATCCAAGACATGAAGCTGAATGTTGGACCGTAATCAGATCACATGCCAATGATTTCATTTCTTCCTTGTCAAGAGAATAAAACCTCAAGGTCACCAAGACAAACGAAAGCATCGGTGCTATCATTGCAGTGACGATGGATACTGGAAGTCAGAGCAGGAAAGATCTATTTTGAAATGAACCAGCTTGATCAGCCATGCAGGGATTTCTTGCTCCTATGTTCTTTATTCTGCAACCCTTCAATTAAAATTTGAAAACTTCCTCTAACGCCGTTTAGAAGAACTTTTCAGGGAAGGGGAAAGAAATAATGTCCTCATCACCTGCTGAATGCGGACCTCCTCTGGTCTACATAAGGTACCTGTGTGGGCCTTGTGGGTAACCAAGACGCTGTAATCATACCGACTTACCCTTGCTTGTGTGCAGCAACAGACAGCAGGTTGCAATGCTTGAGCAGACAGGCCAGCAGACACCGCGACGCACGGTCTAATAATTCCTCCTGCACCTCCCCGCTGGTGTCCCAGTCTAACAAAAGGAAAAATGTCCCAACTCAAAACAGGAATCATCTAGATCAAGAGCAGTGCTAACTTGAATTAGTCTGAAAATGTCAGCAATATGGAGGCTGGGCAGATTTGTGCAACCAATACCGTCCATTCCCATTTCAAAATTCATTTGATGTTCGCGTACTTCTGCAGTATGGACATGAGAACACAAAATAGAGTTTTCAGACAACTTGGCATGTGACTATGGCAAGACACAATTTCTCCGGTACCCTGTAGTCTCACCTTTATTACGTGCATAGTCCTGCATGCTGTTCCATATTGACAGGGCTGGTTCCCTCCCTCTGCCTGTGGCCAAGTCAAGCAAGGTCGCTAGGTCAGGGGTCATCTTGAAATCAGAGAGGTCATAGTCGTCGTCGCCGGAGATGGCTGCTTCGGACACTTTGCTGACTAGTTCCACTGTGGAAGAATTTCAAAAATTCCATCATGGCCCTGAATTTTGAGCTGACCTTGTGTCAGAGTTCACAGGCCAATGCTGTATTGGATACTCTTGTAGCCTATGACTCATTGGGAGATTTTTAGATTGGTCTTTTCCAAACTGGGCAAATAATGACTTGTGTACACCTCAGAGTCAAGGGATACTTCAAGCTCTGCACAACCTCACAACGTCCAAGATCTAAATCCACACCAAAACGTATTCCCAGTCTGCAGGATCAGGGTACACACATATCGGCAAGACAACACGTAAGACACAGTTATGTATCAGATCTTAGGGCCAGGAGGGCTAAATGGAAATCTTTCTAAACATGACTATTTACATTGTTTCGTCGGTTAAAGTATCTTCATTACCCTGAGATGGGCAAAAGTATCATTTCTAAAGTGCTGGCACTTTCAGTTCCTAAATAAAAGCAACATATCTCCTGGGGGTTGGCAGCATTTTGTTCCCCCCCTTCCCTGGTATGCCACTGGTAGGAAATCAATTTTTAACAATAATAATCCCTTAAAAGGCAAAGAATTGTGGACTGCTAGGGTTAATCAACACCCATAAGTAAGACCTTTATCATGATGCTGCCACATTTGCCTTGTTCCCTGTAGACCCACTGGCAATAGTAATACAATTTCACATATTGATCAATGGGAACAGACTATTTTTCCTTCCAACCTCTGTGTGTTTACATTTCTATGAATGGTGAAAAGCAAGATGGCTGCCCCATGATAAAGGTCTATACCATTCAGAAATGCATACCCAAATGTTTCACATTGGTCTCTAGACCGTTGCTGAGTAGCCTGGACACCATCCAGCCGCTGGTCTCGCTCTCCTCCTTGGAGACGGGCACCCAAGCTAGCATGCCAGCTAGGCAACGCCCCACGACCAAGGCGCAGCACCGTTCCAGATCTACCAGCCACACCCATCCCTTGGCAGGCTGTGGGAGGGGTAACGCAGCGGGCTCCACACTGCCAGGGGCTCCTAGTGAAGGAATGAATGAAATAGGGTGATTCATGAGGACCACAGGGTATGGTTCCTGGTGATATCGTCGAGTCCATCACAAGTCCCCACACGACACCTGCAAGTCCAACTAAAGTCATCGAGTCCTAAGCCGAGTCAAAAGCTTTGACGAAAACACCCTCCGTCATTGCTTAACCTGTCAAGCCTGCAGTAGTTTCCATATCAATGTCAAGAGATCCAGACAGCATTGCCAAATTCTCTTGTCAAAGTCATCCAGAAACATGGACTTTCGGCAAAGTTCAACTCTGCCAAAGTCTACACCAAGCTGTCAGGGAAGGCTCATACAAACATGCAACCTGGCATAATGGGCATACAACAATGTCCTTCTGCATTATGCATCATTTATTTGCCTTATTTTCTCCTTTTGACTAACAGCTGATAACCAAATTGCCAACAAAAAACCTGACCAACAAAAGTACCAGTTTAGCTTTAGAAGTGATTTAACCCCAAAGAAATGGTTTTGGACGCCACACTGTTTCCACCCTTTTGTCAAATGACGCGGCCAACCATCTTTTCCACAAATGTTAGCCTCTTGACATCTTGCAAAATCTGAAGTCAGAGATAGAGGCCAGCATGTCAAGACATCCTGCATTGGACAGATATCTGAATCAGTCTCTAACATTTTGATGAAACTGTCGTACCATGTAAAGGCCACTCCAGTTCATGCTCGTCCAGGAGGGCTGCCGCAGGTAGCAATCGGTTGAGCTGATCCAGTTCAGGCAGGAGGGCCAGCAGGCTCAGCATGAGGGGACGTGAGACGCTGACGGGCAGTAGGAGGAGAGAGTGTAGAAGCTGGGACAGCATCGCACCGGCTGCGGATGTGTACAAGACATCTGGAGAAGGCAAAAATGGAATGACTACCATCACCTGGAGTCAAACTGGGTCAATGTGGGTCGAGTAAAAGCTGAACTGGATCAGGATTTATGTGGGTCGAGTAAAGGCTGAACTGGATCAGGATTTGACGGATGTAAATAACTAGCTTGAGATCTGAAGAGTACCAACAACTGCATGTAAAAATGTGGTAGTGAACCACTAACAGGCTTGGGAACATTCATCAGAGTTTCTGTTAAGCAGGTTTAATGTTGGTTTATGCTTTGCTGACCTAAATCCAAAAGCGGGATGAGAAAAACATACAGCTGTACATGTACAATTGACGTGGTGGGGAAAACTATTTGATAAATTTGACATTAAAATTGTTAAAGATGCTTAAGGCTTCTCCATATTAGTTAGATACGTGCTGCAATAGAATTCTGTCCTTATTACATCACACTTCGTTTAAAGGTATGTTTTCCCATGGTGCTCGATAAACTGTGGGCCTGCGCTGGCTCCAAGGGAAAATGCACAAAGTGTGACATCATCTGCACAAATGCCTCCTGCTTTAGGCCATCTTCAGGGTGACATTTCCAATTCAACACACTTTTCTGCTCTGCCGCTGCGAGAATACACTCCTCTGCTTTCAGGCCAACAGCACGGAGCGATACTGTGCAGCCACTTGGCAAAAAAACAACAAACAATAAATTGGCCGGGAACCGCCCACAGGCCAAGCAGTACTCACTACACGGTATATTTGGCTGGTAATCTTCTGCTGCAACAAAAAAATGAGTTGTATACTTTTAAGGGGGTTTGGCAGACGAAGGACATCGGTCCCCACTCACCCCTGAGCTTGTTACGGACTGCCTGGGCTGCCATCCCACCGCTCTGCTGGAGAAGCTTGACCGACCTCTGTAGCACCTCCACGGCATGAGGCAGGAGCAGATTGAGGTGTTTGTGTAGAAGGCCTACACTCCCTGATATCTGTGGAGGGAGGGAATTCAACCATTACACTTTCTAGATCACTCGATCCCCGACAGCCACGGCACACTGCTGAAAACACATTATTCACATAAACTCAATCACTCTTCTTTGGTTATGGTTGTCCACTTTCTCAGAACAGTGGAGGTAGATGTTGTTTATTCTTTCTATGACTTAGCATTCTAGCATTCTCTATGTGGAGACTACACCTTAATCCACCTTGAGCGGAAGCACCCCCTCATGAGTTTTAAAAGAGCCATGTGGGTTGGGAGTGTTCATTTTTGTCCCTTGCAAAGCGACCATAATGCTACTGTTGGCCACAGTGAATTTACCTTGGCAAGCATATCCTCCATGCTTGAAATATCTGTGCAAGTAGGGAGTAATTCCCTGTTTGGGACAGGAAGGTCAAGGGGCCTACAATGATATTTCAGAGCAACAGTGTCCATTTTACCTCGTCCCCGGCGTTGACGTGACAGTATGCTACCAGATGCTTCTGTAGTGACGACAGCAACTCTCGTAGATGGGCCGGGGGCGCGCCGTCATCACAAGCCATAGACTTCTGGGTCTTGTCGCTGTTCTTCTCCAACTCACCGAAGGCTTGCTCCTGATCAAGGCAAAGATGACGATGTTATCATTACGTGGCCATGCAGAGTGGCGGTTTCTGGCAGTATCAAAATGCTTCACATGGAATTGCTGATCAGGATACTTGTTAATTCTCGGTAATTCTTGGAATTAGACACCATAAAGTGATGAATGCCTTTTATAATGGAGTGGCTACTGGTACCTGGAATTATTTGTTAATATGGCACGGTACCCTGTTCAAAGTAAGAAATCACTGTGTCGCGCATGTAGTCAAGTGGCTAAGAAATCTGTGTTAATGTAGCAAGCATGTTATCCTTAAAGTTTGCCTTAGAAGAATTTTTATAGAACTATTTTTAATTCCTGCATGATTATTGACAGTGTGCGAGTGGTTTATTCAGCTCCTGGTGGATGGCTTACGGTGTGATATCCTAGGTTACGTAGCAGCGTCTTCATCAACACCTCTGCCAGGTGCATATCCTGACCTGGTGCCAAGGTCAGAGTTGAAGGGTCGGAGGGTTTGGGCTCGGGCTCCCAGTCCAGGGGAGAGGTGAAGCCCAGGAGGGAGGCGACGTGGAGGTTCTCCTGGAGGCTGGTCAAGATGATGCCTAGCTGCATCCTCTGAGGAGGTGATAAGATCAGGGTGGAAGGTCAATCACAACCGCATCTCACACAACAAGTCTTAGGGGCCATTTTGGAGGTGGGAGGAAAAACCTTGGACAAGTATTCCAAGGGAAAACTCATGGAATCGGGTCGGAACTGAAAACCCAATCAACACGCTGGCCAAGACAGGACTCAACCCTTGGGTTGCAGAGGTGGAAGGTGGGGGGAAAAGTACAACCACCTCAATACGAATTCCCTCTAAAACTATAAAGAACTATGAGCCAATGTGGCCGTCTCCCTACACGCTGAATGTGCTTTAACCACTCACAACGGTTACGCTAGCATGGCTTTGTTTAGACTTGTACCTGTCCTTTGGAGAGGCTGTCCCATCGATCAGGCCCCTGTGGCAGCAAAGACTGCAGTAACTCCATGCGTTCCCTCAATGGAGGTAGGAGTAGAGGTGCACCAATGGAGAGCGTTTCACTCACAGCCTGAAAAAGGAACAAAAGGCGTTTGATTTAAGTTAAGTGGTATCACGTTACTCGTCAGAAATAATTTCAAACTGTCAAAAACAGCTTCTCAAAAAACAGTCTACTTTTGTGGAAAATCATCCTAATTCAGTAACTGTCTTTGGAATTAAAGTGCAAACTGTAAAAAAGAAGTCTTTTTTGTTCAAAATCACTTGGCGCCATTTAGAAGTACGGTGGTCATTGTCGCAAATGCAATGGAAATGTTCGGACTACCTTCTGGACTGACGTGGGAGTCTTGGAGTCCATGAGACGAAACAACAGGTGCCTGAGGGGCCTGGCCTGGCTCCCTAGGATGCTACTGGAGAGCCCCCCAGCCAGCGCCAACTGAAGATGGGTGCAGAGGAGTTTGAGGCAGAGTAGCACAAAGTGTTGGTGCTCCCTAGCCAGATAAACAAAAGATAGCTTTCATTATCAGAAGAGAACCCAATGGCATCTGGTAAGTCTGTCTCAGTAAAGTTAGCCATCAAATGTTTCTGTGCAACTAAGGATGAGGAAACCTACTTCTCATAAAGAAAAGAGGAATACTTGAATATGATTGCCTTTTCTAAATCTGTTGGAATCTTGTGAAGATAACTTGGTCCAAACTTTTTGCTGAACAAGACAGTTTAGCACCTGGGGACAGAGCTGTCTGACAATAACCCCTGCCTTTCAAATAAAAATTCAAATGTAACAAAATGGTCCGATTCTGCTAGGAATGGTAATTTATGCCACATAGAATTTACATGTCAATCCGTACCTAGAAGTGGTCCAAAGGAATCTCAATAGCATAATGTGAAATTCTCGCTGGTTAACAGTAACAGTTGAAGGCAACCTATTTATCAAATACACAGCAGCATACTAATGTTTGAAACTACATTTATAAACTTGGAAAAGAGTCAAATTTGTTGTTACTACAACTTTATGGAATCAACCTGACGTATGCAACATAAACAATGGTGTCAGTGTCAGTGATGTGTTGCTGGAAGCTTTGCAAAGCAGGCAGGGATGTATTTTGTGACTGTTATCACCGAATAAACTCCTGTTTTGTGAAGAACTGTTGGTTTGGAAGAGAGTAAATGCAAAGATTTTGATTCTTAGCTTGCCTTGCATCAAGTACCTTAAGACTTACCTTGCTGTTGGAAAGGGGGGTGGTGGACTCGGGTGATCGAAGCCATCACAGTAGTGCTCTAGGAAGGACCGGAGGTAGGAGAAGGTCCCCTCCTGGAGATCCACGCAGAAGGGACGGTGCCAGGCCACCACTTGCCTGATACAGTAAAGATGGACAACTTAAGATGAACTGGATGCTAGGATGGTGTGGTGTTAAGCAATAGGGTCCCCTCACTCAACCGAGAGACCAGACATGCATTCAACATTGTTTTAGGCAAAGATCACAGCACTGAGTACAATACAGAGCAGGTAAACCTTTAAACAGTAGCCAGTGCTGGATCAGAAGGGTACCAATGACCACTCATAGTGTCAAGCGTTGATCATCATTCCATTTGACAACGCATTCACTGTCAGGTAAAAAGCATGCCCCTCAGTCAGGTTTGTGACATACCATGTATGGTTACTGACCAAATGCTTGGCTATGACAATGGTTCTGACTTTTCTTCTTTCAAAGTTTTTACCTTCAATACAAGTGCAAGGTTTATTCTGACAGTATGTAGCAACAACAAGAGACCAAGAGAGAGATAAAAAAAGGAAAGTTTTGCCCGGGTAGACCTTCAGCCTATGACCTCCTAAGATCGGCTACTCGACCACTGTCTGCACTTGCAAGTGAGCGGCTGTGGGCTCGAGTCCCAACTGAGGAGACCAGTGCGTATTTCCTTTCCATGCAAGCATGACTGTAACTAACCTGTCCGTCGGCAGAGCAGTCCAGGCGATACTGTGAGAAGTCCCTGCTGAGATTTGGTGGATGGTGACCCCTTCCAGGCCCAAGACCTTCTTGGGTCTCAGGACAGGGCTCGTGGTGTGACCCTGGCCACACTGGCCCATGGCATTATTGCCCCAGGCGTAGACCTCGTTATCTGCAGCATCAGGCACACAACAGAGACGTTAGTAAAAAACGAGTAAGTTCCAAACTCCGTCTATCATCAATCCATCCCAAGTTGAAGCGGCAGCCTGGTTGGAAGTTTGACAACTGGGCTCATGCACATGTGCCAAAGATTGTATAATCAAACACAAATTGGTCATGGACGTTCAGCAGGCGATGCCCGTGAACCAGTGCATGTAGGCAGGGAGGTTCCCATTAAAGGATCGTCGTTGCTGTGTAAAAACATGCTCTCTCCTGCTCCCACCAGGGGTGGAGAAGGCTTGTAAAGAGCTGTATTTGTAATGCAATAACTAGAAAGAGAAAACAGGTGGAAACCGGCAATAAACAAACCAGGTATGCAACTGGGACTTGGACAAAAAAACAAGGAAATTCCTATCTTTACAAGACTTTGTACAGTGTTATTTAACTTTCAATGGCATGGGTGTGAAGTGAAAAAAATGGAAATCAGCTGATCCATGGAAAATTTGCTGCCTGAAACAAATGAAATTCTATGTCTGAGCTTGGATTCCAACCTCCCCACCCATGGGTCAACTCCCCCCCCCAGGGATGTTACATTTCCTATAACTCTACTTTCAACCCCTACAGAAGTGAGAAAATTCTTTTGATAAATAATGAACAAGGTGAAAAATTTTGTACAGCACATCAGCCTTTGGGAAAATGCTGCTGGGATCAAAATATTAGGCCCTTGGTTTGAAACGTTTGATAGTTTTCACTGAAGTGATCATGTTGCTTCCTCACCGTGACTGAGTGCCAGACAGTGGCTGTCACCGCAAGCGATGTCGACGATGCGGGTCATCTGGAGGTCCTCCACTAACTTTGGGCGGAGGGCCGTTGTCTCGGCCGACCCAGACCCTAGGCAAGCGCCATGGCCCCATGCAAAGACCTACATAGAACAGTGAGAGTCGAAACATTATGCCAGGGCAATATTGTGACTCTTATTTCGCTTTGAACATGAATGACCCCGATTAAATCCTGTCATTGTTAAAGAATGGATTTTGTAAATTTACACATTTTGTATTAAATGCCCAATCTGCAGTTTCAATGTGATAAAATGCTCTGTTCAACTGCGTAAAGTGCCTGCTGGACATCAGGTCCAATTTATTTCAAAGTCCTGTTCATTTATGACCTCTTATGAGGTTAATCATGTTTGATACCTGTCCAGTGGACGTCAAGGTAAGAGATGATTGGCTGCCGCAGGCTACCTTACGGATTACCAGACCAATCAGGGCCTCAATCATCTTCGGTTTGTATACCCGGTTGGTGTCCCCGTGACCAAGCTTGCCTGCAGAATGGTAGAGGACAAGATTCAATTGTCCAACAGTACAAACTACACAAATATTTCCTTCAGTTAATGGGAGACTTTGAGACGTATGGTGGCGGCAGACAAACCGGCCCTTTTTTGCAGTTGTGCGCACAGTCACAACTAACGAGCATGCCGAGAACTGGAAGTGCATGCCCACATCAACCAAAAAGGACCATTGTGTCTGCTGCCACCAAGCATCACAGAGTCTCCCAATGCAAACTAATATTAGTATTTTGGCAGATTACAAGTTCCAACAAACATTGCTGGCATACTGGCTACCATCTATTTTTATTCTGGGGGGGAGGATTAAACTGAGAGAAAATGGTGACCAGAGGAGGCACTGATGATTTCAAAGGATTTCAAATGTGTGGTACAAACTGCATGAAGCCTTCTTACTGTGGTGTTTGATTCCCTTATATTCAGAAAACTACACTGGCAAAATACTTTCTGAACATCACAAATACATTTTTAAAGGTAAAACATCTGGTAACTTGAAACTTTTTGTGATGGTGGGAGGGGCATGATCGCTGTTAATAAATCTCTTTCATCTTAACCCTGCCAAGGGCTTGTGGATTCTTCTAAATTTATAATGAGCTTTGGAAAGATTTTTAAAAGGATTGAGGACTGCCACTATAACTTATTGATACACCTCTCTCTTCATTACAGTATGCATATTCCTTGGCCTAGAACAATCGTGTGACCATGCAATAAAAACACATGTTGACTGCAACCTTGTGCAACACAGTGATGTCATAGACTAGTCCCTGTCTGAAACCAAGATGCAATGACTGCGAACCAGGCTATTGACACTTATTGACCATTGTGAGGTGGGTAAGATGATTTTAACACCCTTGGGGATGGCATAGCATCCTCAGCTTTGCCTTCTAGTGTTAAAACATGGCACTTAACATCCCTTGAGAGTTTCAAGTGCAAAGAACGAGCCATTGGTTTCCTACAAAGTAACAGAGACTGAAACATCGACCTTTTCATAGTTCAAAGCAAACATGCCTCTGGAGTTACAATTAATAATTAACACTGTTTTTAACCTACCGTTGTCACCGCCACCAAATGACCAGACAGTCCGTCCGTCCTGTGATATAACTATGGTGTGTGAGCTGCCGCACACTACCTGACCAACGTTACTGATGTCTTTAACCAAGGTCGGTACGTTCCTGCTGTTACTGTCTCCATGACCTGTGAGACAAAAAGGTAAGTTGCACTTCGTCTCTTACCAATAACAGCAAAGCATTTTGACGGACTCTTCACCTTGTGTGTACAGACTTAAAAAGTGTAGATTGAACAATTAATGGTGTGTATGAACCAGCAAAGTATTGTCACAAATCTGCTTCAAATGACCTTGTTGTTAGGTTACACAATGCCTCCTGTTACTTATGTACAGGACTCCATAAGAAATTATTACTCTATAGTGAAAAACATCTGATAGCACGCAGGTACCAGATGACCAAATTAAATCAATTCAGATTTCAATGACAATCCTAATATTAACGATTAGTCACAATACAGCGATTCATCACGAAAGTATCAAAAACCTTCACAACTACGATCCCCGTTCACTGGGCCAGGAAATCAGTTTTTCTTCGGCAGTTCATGATCAGCACAATTTTTTATATCCTCGCTGGTTCCCATTTACATATCCGGGTGGAGAGAGGCATCTGTGGCTGCGCATCTGCCTAAGGAACATGAGCACCATGGAATCTGTGCAGTTCTAGCCCAGGTGCCATCACACATGAGCCCCAAACCAGAACCACTGGGCCACTAGCACATAGGTTCAACTGGTTGAGGGCAGGGTGATCATGTAAGAGGAAGATGAGGAGAAACCTTACTGCCAGGGGACAACTCACCCAGTCTCCCGTAATCTCCTTCCCCCCACGTGTAAAGCTGTCCGTCCTCGGTGACGCAGGCACTGTGACGGTAGCCGGCCGATACGCACACCACCACCTTGCTGGACAGGACGCCGGGTACCAGCTTGGGGTACTTCTGCGTGGAGGTGTTGCCATGGCCCAGCTTGCCGTAATCACCATCGCCCCAGCTGAAGATCTGGCCCTCCGATGTCAGGGCGAGTGTGTGGCCATCAGAACCCTGCACCATGAGAGAAAATATATATTTTACTCCAACACCATTCCAGGATAGGTTCAATGACCATTTATCACACATTGGTCTATTTTGCCTGGTACCCTGAATTTATTTGGTGCACAGGTTACCCGGGAAAAAACCAACCAGTAGTCAATAATGGTTCTCACTCGAACTCTGCCCATGTGGTAAGGGAAACTTCCTGTTATCATTGGAATGCTCCTCTATTGAACAATGCACATACCTGATGGAAAATTTCCTGTATTCCTATTAGGAACAAGCTGTTCCCAAGTTAGTAACACACACACATGGATCACTATTCCATGCACAGTTCAGAGATGAGTAGTGGGTGTTTCAAACTGAAACCAGTAATGACTATTTGGGGACATTCATTAGCGCTCTGACAATTGGGAACCTCCCTGACTGCACATCTGTAGTCGAGACCTCCAGTGTTGTAGTACTCGTTACTCGAGTACTACTCCAGTACCTTTTTCAGAGTACTCGTACTTTGACGTCAAAGTACTCGTACTCGAACTACAGTTCTTGTACTCGGGCTACAAAATACTTGGAACTCGACATCCAAAAATTGTGCTCGAGCATCAAAGTACTCGATTAACAATACTCGATAAAAAAATCCTTTAAGTTAACTTAATATCGACCCCAACGACCTGATATTCGATATCCTCTTTACACCATTATTAGACCCCACAAGGCTATCACAAGACCAACACAAGTCCTCCAGTCTAAATTTAGGCCACAAGCTACTCAAATGAGCTGCAACAAAAGCATTCCTACATGTACGTCACTGTTACTTGCCACTGGTCTCAACTTGTGACTGGTCTTATATTTGGTCTGGTGACAGTCTTGGGATGATCTCAACTACAACGCTGCTTATTAGAGGAACGCGATCCTTCTGTCATCTGAGTCTGGTTTTCCAATTGTCATTCTCCAACACTAGTATTTGTTTAGAAAATCCTCAAGTTATACTGGCATGTTTCCCCTCCTAGGCTGCATCCAAATCTTTTGTCTAGAGCTAGGTCTAGGTCTTCGTTCCATTAGAAATGCGTGGAGATGCGTAGACAATAGACCTAGCCATAGCTCTGGAAGCCCGTTTCGGACACGGCCCTAGCTCCCTCTGCTTACACTATCATCTTATACCTTGGAAGATGATATCTTGGAGATAACATGGCTTTCAAAGTTGAGCTTCTTCAGCTGTGTCTGGTTGTTGGAGTCACCCAGGCCTAGTCTGCCATAGCTACCTTTGCCACAGGCCCTGACGGTGCCATCGGCTGAGATAACAAATGTGCAGTACTGGCCTGCTTCCACCTGTAAAAAAAAAATGATTCAAGATATGTTTTCAAGCATCAGAGATGTAAATATGAGTAATTTCCTCATCTCAAAGGGAAATAAGCATGGATTGTGCCTCATCTCAAAGGAAAATAAGCATGGATTGTGCCTTATCTCAAAGGAAAATAAGCATGGATTGTGCCTCATCTCAAAGGAAAATAAGCATGGATTGTGCCTCATCTCAAAGGAAAATAAGCATGGATTGTGCCTCATCTCAAAGGAAAATAAGCATGGATTGTGCCAGCAGGGTTTTATGGTGGAGCTTTCAATCAAGTTCACAAGACATTATAATTCGATTCCCGTTATGCATGAAATAGACCATTATAAAAATGGCTATTAAAGTAATTTTGCCATTGCCTTTCTAGGGGTAGCATTTCATTGGTTCTGGAAATACGGTATCAGTTTGCTCATTGAGTACCGAAGTGAATACATTACACGTACAATTTTATGTGCAAAAGGCATTAGCGTGAGAACCAGCGCATGAACCAACACGCGTGCGTACTCCATTCGTTTGCACTACAATTCCTGGTTCAAAAAGTCGCCACACTTTGGTACTCTGTATCACTTCAAAACGGTTCTCATTCTTCCACATTTAATATGACTTTTCACACATTCTAAGGAGGTTGTGAGATCTTCGATTTAACACCCGGCTCAGACATTTAACAACATAGCCTCCATTACCTGCTGGCTCTGTGCAAACAGACCGGCTATCTTGGGCTGCAAGATCTTTTCTTGACTCCCCTCAGCCAACTGGTGGCTGCTGTTACTTCCCCATACGTACACCTCACTGTTCTCCGACACGCTCAGGTTGTTGTGCTTTCTCTCGTTGGGGCAGACACAGGTGCGAGCGTACTCCATGGCCAGACGAGACACCTGTTTTATCACCACACATCCCAAATATATATGTGTCTAAGGACTGGCTGACATTAAATCCACTCTTTCATGTCTCACTTAGCAGAGAGCTTCTGCGTACGGTAAAACTAAACTTCCTCACCGGCACTAGTGAACCTTATGTTGGTCTCTAAAATTAACTACTGAATCTGCCAGCACCTGTGTTCTTTGCACATCAAGATCAGAGGTTCTCTAAGTAACCTCTAACCAGTTTAGGCCTTATATATATAAAACCTTATAAATGTTGACAAATAGCCAAAGTCAGTGTAAGAGATTAAATTTGATCAAAAAGCATTTGATTTCTACAGCAAAATAGCCACAGAATATTATACATGAACTGAAATAATACTTTAAGCCCTGCTCGTAAGGTCGAAGAGCTCTCTCAATGCCGGTAGTTTCAATATTTCATGTCAATTTTATATCAAGCTAGAGATTAGACAAAAGGACTTTAGCAAAATCGTTGTGAAAAACAGGATATCCAAGCTGCTATGGTAACTTAAAGGTGTAATGCTTTAACATGCATTTGTGTAACACAACGTGTCCAAAATGGCTTACAGTGCAGCCAAAAGGTATCCAGATACCCATTTTGCCAACATATTGTTGGACGACTAGAACCACTCTACAGCTCAACTTTTCCCAGTGTGAAATACAATCCCTTTTGTCAGAAATGAAAATACAAGAGAGAAAACATTTTTCACATTTTTGCACGAGGTAAGAACTCTTATGTTCTGAAAAATATTACCTCCTCGATGAGACACAATGCTGCCTGATAGAGTGGACAATGGCCGTCTTCTTGTTTCAACTCTGACAGGACAGAGCCTCTGTCCGCTGATGACCCCTGCAACAAGAGCATCAACAACGCTTGTTTGATCAAACAGGCTGAAAGAAGTCAGAAAAACCGACAGACAGAACTTGAGGTTGAGGATCAAAAGCCTTCCTGTCTCTGAACATAATTTGGCTGTGACCATAATTGTTTTAAGTTATTCTGACATGGACACTGAAGACTTTTCCCAGCAGAAGCATAAAACATTGACAGTGCTGATAAATGTTGCTCTTTATTAGGTTTAAATGTTATGCTTAAATTTCCCAGCCATTTTATCATTTTTTCATTCTTCCATCAGCATCAATAGAGGAATACGAACAAATTGCCCCAACCCTTTTTTTTTTATTCATGTCTGGTTGTGAGACCAAAGATTCCTCTAAAGCCTTGATACTGTAACTCATAAACCTGAAGAAAGAGGAGACAATGAGAAGCAGTTACAGTTTTAGAGGTGGGGCGAAAACCCAGAATAATATTCTGGATAAAAGCCACTGAATCAGATGGCCACCAAAAATCAAAGTATGTGTGCCTGGGCCAGGAATTGAACTCAGAGAGGTCAAAGGAGAGGAAACACTACTCCAACCTGACCCCTAACATGCTCAACCTAACAAGATTTTGTGACATTACCACTGCATCTTGTGGGTTATGGCTGCATTGTACACTTGGATCATTTTATAATGTACAAATGTCAACTTACTGTAGCTCTGCGCATTTGACCCAGCACGTTGGTGAAAAATTCGAAGGAGATGACTCCATACTTGGGCTTGTCATTCCGTTCAGCCACACCCACTTGGGAGGTACATGTACCACCGCTCACTGCCGCAGAAGACCCCAGGGCCATCTCGACCCAGTCCAAGAGATGCTGCAATGACCCACGCTGAGCTGCTAGGCCAATCACAAGCTGGCAGGATAACTGCTTGCCGTAAGGGTCTGCTCCGGAATTTGGCATCGTCGCAGATTTAAGGAATGTCGTGACCTGCTTGAGGCACTCTGTGCCCAGGGAAGGGATCTTGCTCTCGTTAGCCAGAGACAGCGGAGGCAGTGAGTTGAGCACATCCATGGCTGTCTGCAGGACGTCATTGCAGATGCTGGGGTTCCCGGTGGGCGGAGCCTGTGACCAGCTCTGGCGGAGGAGGGCAAAGAGCAAGCTGAGCCCCGTCCGCACCCCCATCTCCACCAGTGCGTCCGTGCCGAAGGCCACCTGCTTCAGGGCGGCCTTGGGGTCGGCGGCGCCGGCGTGGGCCTGCTGCAACCGCAGCTGCTGCTTGACCTTCTCCTTGTCATGGAACTTGCTGGAGATGGCGTGGAAGAGGCGACGCAGGACGGCCAGCCGCTTCTGAAGCGCCGAGGCGAAGGGAGACTCGGAGCAGACAGCCCGGGCCAGGCTGAGCTGGTTGGCCAGCAGGGCCTCCAGGAAGTGTTCCTGCTCTTCGCCTGATGGTGGCTCACGCTCGTAGTCCGGCAGTTGGGGTCCCTGGAGGTGCAATGCCTGCCGGGGGGTGCTAATCACCTCTTTATTGGTGACCAGGCGGTCGTACAACTCCAAAGCGCCATCTCTGTTTGCTACCTGGCCCCAGTCTTCCGTCACCCATGTTGCGTTTAGATGCTCCAACCACTTCAACTTCATGGGCATGTTTAAGGGCATCATGCTTTTTTTGGTGTTACAGCTGTAACAAAATGGCTTATACAAGTTTAGTTTGTAGTAGTGATGACATCATTTCTATGATTGCAATGTGCAGGGTGCAGAGTAAGCATGAGAGCATGTTTACTGGACCTAGTTACTTAGACTAAAAAAGTAGAGTTCCCTAATGTGGCCCACTATAACGTTTCCATTGACTTTCCTCATGCAGCATAGCCATACCTCTTTGTTGAGAAACTTCAAATGTATTTAATTAAATGCTGGCACTATTTTCTATTAACACATGCTATTGAAATTTTGTGAACAATTTCAGTGTCTGTCATGAAATTTTGCCCGGAATTCACAAATGGTAGCATCATTTCAGCAGAATGCTCCCAAACATGCAGCACTTGAACAGATCAAAAAAAATTAAAAACAAAACAAAACAAGATTGGAAACTTGGGCGACATAAGAAATGATGAGTGGCATGAGAAATTTGTAGCAAGTACAAGTATGTTAACTCTAGAGAAGGGACAAGAATGTTGACAGCTTAATGAAATTTCTATTTTTATGAAATTTGAAGTAAAAATGTTGCTCTAGCAAGGAACGAGTGGTGAAAAATCAATGTACGGCACATTAGAGACTGCGCCACATTAGGGTAGCCAACGGCCGAGTTTGTTCACACAGATCTTGTTCACGATCAGCGATCTCGTTGGTTTACAGACACCAAAACCCGCATCGTGGATGGTGTGAACCAGCATTAGACTCACTGATCAAGATCCAGACGTGTGAAACAAACAGGCCCTACATCAGCAATATTTTCTAACAGGCCTACGTGTATTTCCAGTTCTGGAAGTAACTTTGTAAGAAAACTTGAGATTTTCCTCGCCTTAATTAGTGTTTCTTTGTCAACTTTACAAGTTTTGGTAGTGTTTAAGTCATATTAAGGAAGACAGGTGGTAGCACGACATGAAACACATTCCCTGCATTTTTCCCAATTAGGCCGGTGGCAATTTTCAAAACTGCCATCACTTTTTCTCCAAAATTTCTGAACGATCACCATTCCCGTTATCCCATACACGTACACAGTACAGGCCCACATGGGCGTCATCATGGTCAAAACTGATCATGATGGTCATGATGGTCACGCTGTCTATGACCATGTAACCAAGATTTAAAATAGAGGGGAACACACTATCCCACTCCAAGAGAATCTCGGAGGAGCAGAGTTCCACATACGAAGACAGCTTCACCATAACCATTAACACCGTACCATTAATTGTGATCTGCTTGGGGTCTGTACAAGCAAGAGTGGTCTGAAAAATTCTTACCTCTATTAAACATTTTGTTAAAATTGAACTTTTCTGGACATGTTTTTGCTTTCTGATGGCTAATACAAAACAAAGGCCACTGTAGGAAATAATTACGGGCGTCCACATATGGAACTCTTCCATGGTGGTCAAGGGTAGGCCGAACCATAGAGGAATAAGAACACATCCTCCATGGCCTTAAACCAAACACCTCCTCCCCAGCTGACAATAACATTGATTTTTGTGTGGGCTTCATGCAATTGCTGCATATCATCATGGGCCGGCAACACCCGTCATGAGGCTCCTACTAGTCCTAGATAGGGGTCTGTAGCATGCCACAATCACACCAGACTAACGATTTTTGAAAAGGTTTACTTACCGGCTTATTTCTTGCGCGAATGTGACAGGACAAAATCCATATGCATGTTGGCCTATGCATTTTGGCCTACGCGGTTTGCAAAGACGTCGGCCATTTTATTTGACTAGTCGTGCATATGCTAGTTGTCCATTTTGTACATAGGCGGCGCTCGGTAATTATGGAACGCCAAAGCTGCAGATAATTGTGGCGACAGAACGCGCATTTAATTTGTTGCAAAGCGGGCAAAAAGGCAATTCACTAGCACGCGGCTCAAAGGGGTGGGGCACTTGTATGGAGGTGGCCTATCGTAAAGAGCACATGAAAGTTAGCCTAACAGTTCTGGTTTCAATTTCCAGAATTAACTTCCAATGTACCACAATTCTAAGAAATCATTTCACTGACCTGTCTCAAAACAAACATTTCACCTGATAACCCTCCCCCATCACAATAGCAAACTAACACAAATATGAACAAGCAACGATAAAATACACTAACTTTTATTTAATAAAATATTCAGATTCAATCAACGGTCTCACAGACCATGCACAAAAATGACACAAGAATCATTCACAATGAACATGCAAAAATAAACTAACTTTTTAATATTATTTAGGTAGAATATTCAGATTTATCAAAAAGTACCCAATAACACTTCAAGCTTTTTTCAAAAGTACATTTCACACTTCCTTAGAAAACCTCACAGTTTTAGGTGACAATATCTTAATTAAGCGCAGACATCCATGCTTCAGGTGACAATCTCAGGTCTTTCTGTAAAGTGTGGTTTAGTGGCAAGGTAACCCAAAGCTTCGCTGAAACTGCATCAGTTGCGACACAACACAGTGTTGTATTTGAGTCCATCCCAAGTCCAGTCACGAGTCCTCTCACAGGGTTAGTCATACGTAACAGGGTGAACAATGACAAAAGAATACTTTTGTCACAGCTCATTTGAATAGCTTATGAATTGGCTTCTGACTGATTGACTTGTGATGGACTTGTGAGGGACATACGGGGAGTTGTGATGGACTTGTGAGGGACTTACGGGGACTTGTGATGGACTCCCACCACAACACTGCTACAACATGCAAATTCCACATAGAACTGATGGTTCTATCATTCTCAAGTATGCATCCACAACAAAATGATACAAGCGAATCTTCTGACTGCGTTAACATTATCACTGGTCATTTAAAATGGCCCCCACCAATGGTGGTAAGCACTGTGATAATTATAATAATGTGTGGAGCCTCTGTTCCATAGCAGTCACTTCATGCAAAATCCAACACAGAGCTTTCCAACATAAAAAGGGGCCATCGGGGAATGTCAAAGTGAAAGGTCACTGGATGTCGAAACAAACGATCTATGCTGGGCAATCTCCAACTCTACATCTGAGCGAGGCCAAGTACTTGCCAAGAAAGAAATGACTATCACACGCTCCTAATGGAAGCTACCAGCCAGCATTGATGTAGCTACATCCTATGGACTTGTAAGCCACAGTCAGCTACTTTGGCAGTGGCTTAATAAATGGGTGTGTTGAGACACTGATTCCTCCGTGGTATTCAAAGTATGCCTGGTCAATCATGTACAGCAGGGTGACTGAGCCCTATCAGTCCCAGACGGGGTTGAATCCGCTCTTTGCGGGCGGTTTGACCGGGGTGTCTTGCCCAATGGCTGGCCGGCCCTTGGGGATGTTACCCTGACCCTCGACGAGGTCTCTGTAGATGCCCGGGTCACTGTCTACTCCTGTCAGGGCCATATTGCGTAGGTTGGGCATCTCGGCAAAAGGCAGGTAGTCCTCGCCTATGGAAACGACAGAGTAAGGGACCCTTATGAAACAGAAAGTGAGGCAAACATTTGAAGGACGACTGAAGTATACATGAATTCAAATTCCTGACTTTGTCTATTTTTATCTTTTCTACCTTCAAAACAGATTCAGCTGGGATCAAAATGACTGGTGCTCTGTCTTTTTTGTACTCTTTTGATTTTATATGGGTAACTGCAGGTCACACAGCATATCGGGTGGGTGTATGATCCATCAACTCCTTCCCCCAAAAAACCTCCTTAAACCCCAATAACATGGGAAAGCTAGGTTAAACAAGAAATTCATTGAGCTGTAACAGAAATAGTGACATAATGCACTAGGTAATGATAGTACAGAGTATTTGGGGTAGATAAGTGGGTTGAAAGGGCAATTCTTGAGTCCAATAATTCAAATGAAATTTAACGAAACACTCTTATGAAGATCACACAATGTTTGTCATAGTCATTCATTATAATGTAAGACTTATTCAGAGCCATACTTTGAATTTTATCTTTCCCATGCTCTGACCTTTTTTTCAACATATCAGGTTCTAAAAGCTTTGGCAGTCTCCAACAACGTAATATATTAAACTCCACCCAACCAATAATAATGTTTTGGTCTAACATGAGAGTACATTCCGTGTTTCAAGTCACCAAGGCAACTGCCAAAAGACTCAGTACGTGAACTTGCCATATGGGATTTTTTTCTGATGTCGGTCAGCTTCCGTTTCGAATACCGTCACATGTTGTTCCCAGTGTCTGTCACATGCCGCGCAGAGGAAGTTAGAATTGAATCCACTACATCCACAACCTAAGAGAAAGTAGAAATAAGTTGTCACAGTTTATGGAAGTTCAGCGGTTTCAATCCCCAGGCATGGCCGCAGAGGTGTGGTTGCAGTCATCTCTAGCAAAAGCCCTCAAAAGTGGCCACACTCCTCCACATTATCTGTACATTTTCTAGCAAAGTAGGACAAACAAAGTTCTAGTCTGGGTTTCATAAACGGGAGAGGAAGCGGCCTTTTAATGAGATGGTATATTTTCCAAGATGCCACACAGACTTTTGTAACTCTTTTGCTGACATGTTCTGCCATCTTGTCTAACGAATCTTGATCTTACATTTTCGGCTATATACTTTGTGAAAAACAAAATGTCAAAATATGTTGCAAAATGAAGTAAACTTGAATGAGGATTAAGAAAAGGAGGCCTAAAACCTTGGCCTAAAAACAGCAACTCCTTCACCTCTCAAATAACAAGCTGAAGAAAGAGTCAAAGGATCCCACAAGCCACTTTCGAACAAAATGACATTTACATCTCAATGCACTGAAAAAGAATGTACTTCTCATTCTACATCTCCTGATCCCAGTACAGTCGTGTTCTTCGTGGGTGTGTTTGCAGCGGCATTTGGCCCGCCACGTTGTTGGATCAAAGTCCCTCCGACGTTGGAACCAAAACTCCCCGATGTCCTCCGGTCTGCCGGGGATAAAGGCGAATGCCTTGCAGGGGCAATGTCGGCAAGGTACGCAGACACTTCGACCTGGAGGAGGGAAAAATATTTGATATAAACGTGCTGAGTTCTTTCGACCGCAATCACATATGGTAACTTCACTGATCTATCCCCTAAAACAATTCACATTTTAAAAGCTCTCAACATTTTACGTTGATTTGTTCAAATGAAGAATCCCTCCCACACCCCCTTCAAATCCAACAAATCTGATCCTCAAAACTGATTTGTGCAATCACTTTTTCAAGTCCTTCAGTTTGGAACACAAGGAAATCTGTCCACTATGGCTCATCGGGCCAGCACTCATCCAAGATTTCCTTGGCAAGAAACATCCAAGAATATTCCTATCTCTCCCGGATGAGGGATGCCAGTCCATTGCAGATGGCTCACCAGCTAATGCCCGGTTACCCATTTACACTCCTGGGTGAAGAGAGGCAAGCAGGGGTGAAGTGACTTGATCAAGGTCACAATCTATTGCCAGCAAGTGGATTGGAACTAGTGACCCTCTGGTCATGAGTCACACATCCAAACCACTAGGTCTTCTTTCCCCTTTCATATGGAACACAGTCTTCTTTTATGGAACTTGTTAAACCACGGATATAATTGCGAACCAAACGGAAACGAAGGGAGTTTTTATCAATAATCGAGAACTCACCATTATAGGGTGCATGTTCACTTAGTATGTGTCCACAGAAGCATCTTGACTCTCTCCCAACACGAATGCAATCCCAGGTAAATTCTGGGCAGCGCCAACCGATATACACCCCTGAACAAAATAGACAAAATTATAAACAACTGTGTTTCCATAAACATGCTCACAACAATGGCAAATGACAATCCAATGAGCAAAACTGAACAAGTATCTAGAAAAGACACTACTCAACAGGTCAACTCTTATTGAATTTAACTTAACAATCTAAGCCTTCAAACCAGCATTTTACCACTTTGTATTGCCTCAGTGGCCGCCTCTGTCTCAGGATCAAACAGTTTCTTAAGGCGTGGTCCAAATTCTTCTCGATTCATGGCACGAGCGACGGACACCAGCTCTGCCTTCTCAGCTGGGATAACTGGTCGCATGGTGTAACCTGAAAATGGACAAGAAGTCCCGTCTTGCAAGCTCTGTTGTGCCCAACTTTAGCTTCTGATCTTCTTTTCATAATCGTTTTAATAAGAAAATGAAATCATGTAACTGAAAGTCTGTAACACTAAATGCAGGTAAAAAGAATTGTCTCAAGGTAACTTTTCCCTGCAAATTTTGACTGATTCCTGTGAGAATTAAAACAAATTTTGAGAGCCTGACATTTTGATCTTGGTGGAATCTTCCTCTGACTAAAGCAAAGTGCAATGAGAAGCAAGTTCACGACAGTTCATTGAAAACTGAGGGAGGGGTCCAGACACAATGTATTTACTGCACAATGGTACTGGGAATAAAAGGCAGGTAAGAACAAGCACCAATCTATTAGGACGTGCACCTGTCTGGGTATCCTAATCATGTTACCTTCAGGATGGAGCAAGCCATTGTGCTTGGTCATTGCAATCCGCTTGTCTGGATTATTGAAGACTCCCATTGGACCTGCTATGCCATGAGAGCCTCGTGGTACCAGAGCCCTGGTGCCTGGGGCAGCTGGCTGGGGCTGGGTTCTGGTAGGCTGGGAGCGAGACCCCCCTGTTGCTCCAGCTGAAGGTTGTTTAGTCTGTCTGGAGGATCCAGTCTGGGCTCTACCGCCTGAGGTTTTTGGCCGTCCTGCACCCATACGAGATTGGTTCTCTGCTTGGGGGGATTTTACCTTAGAGGACTTTGGTCTCGGTGAATTCATTTTGTTTTTTTCATTAAAAATCCTAAAAGAGTAAAGTTTCAGAAAAGTAAGTTTTATTAATCCGAGCTGAATTTCTTATTATGCTATTTCTTAAGCGAAAGTAAGAATATTCCTTGTGGGTGACAAGGTCCAAGGGCTGGACCGATGACGGGCAGACCCAGAGCTGGAAACATGCCGATGACATCCAGAACTTAACAAATTTCCAACATCATGAGCAATATTGAAACTAAATTAAGTGCTGAAATTACCAACATCCAGCAAAACATACTGATGACAACAGCAAAAAAGACGACCTTGCCCTTGGGCAGCACAGGTCAGATTTGGGAGGTAGGGCCTAAGCCTGTGTGGGAACTCAATGTGGGGCAGCGCGGACATCCGGAACTCTCGCAAAATAAACCGATTAAAACAGTGCCTACGGCATGCAATGTACGCATGGCACCACCCAGTCAGAGGGTCAGATTACACAATTTTGTTTGATCAGTACTTATGCCGCGCATGTTCACTGCAGTTGTTTTCATCGGTTGCTAGCCTACCCGCCATATTGCGAAACTCCCTGATGTCCGTGCGGCCCCATGATGATTGTTCAGTTGTTGGGACTAAGCTGGAATGATAGGCCTAATTCTGTAGCAGCTCATCCTCTAAAACAGTTAGCCTAACACTGTAATAGGCCCATATCAGGCCTACTGAAGTCTGTAGCAGCAGCACACGGCCTGCAGCATGGCCTGCCATGCCCTCCACGCGGAGTGACTCAAAATTGACTTAGTAACTTAGACCAAGAAATTTTACAGGCTCCAAAAAGATTAAACGTAAAAATGGCTTTTCTCAGAGTAAACGTAAACTTAGAATAGATCAAATATGAGACCTGATTTTAGCAGAAACCTTAGTTCTTGTTCTTGATTCACATCACGCGATAACACCAGATGCAGTTGAGGGGGCTGCCATTTTGTATCCTATGACGCGCCGACCCTGTTGTCAGGTCATTCTATTTCGAATCTAGGGGGCGGTCAGCCACGAACTTATGTTACCCCTATTGATCTCCATTACGGTTACCCCCAACTGAACAATTAATTGCCAATTTCTCCTTCACTTCAGTACTTCACCACATTTAACACGTAAAAGTAAGCTTAAAACTTTCTGAAAGTATTTGAAATAATTTTCGTTTAATCCTGTAAGCAATAAATTGTAAACAATTTCCTTCCCTGGAAATAGTACAGTCTATACCCCGGAAGAACTGCGCCCACTGTCTTTCAAGGGTGCATTCCACCAAATGGTTGTATTTCTGCGCGCGAGCTTATTAATATTTCGTGATCCCACGGGGTTTTTGCAATAAGACATGCCATAATCAGGAAGTATCATAGAAATGTTTCTTTAAATCCCAAATTTTGGACTGATAGTTTCCAGTTTGGGGTATTTCTTTCACAAAAAGCCCCACTTTGCGGACCTATTTTGGATAGAGGCAGGCGGCTACATTCAGAATTGAGCGCTTAGTTTTACTGCTATTTTGGGGGTACCTTCGTTCGAAGGAGAACAAAAAAAAAATTCATGGCTAACCCCCGTGAAATTGAAACAAAAAGTGATATTCTGGCCATAATCTTGAATTTCCAGTGAAAAAACGGAGGCCAACCTCTTCACGATAGTCAACAGGCAGCGCTATTTCGGTCTAAATTTGCACTGTTAAATTCTAAAGGCGCGTATTTGGTGCCTCAAGAGGGGCAGCTACCCGGTTCGTAAGTGTGACGTCACTTAAGTTTAAACCACTCCCACCGCACGTGCATTGATCGCCGTTTACATGGGCCGTTTTCCAATTACTCAACTTCGCTCCGTCGGAGGATTCGTGAAGGAAACTAATCCCCGATTGTGGGCCTGAAGCGTTTAACTTAAATTGAAGTACTCTAATGTGTGGCTCTTTTGCATCTTACTTGATGTTTTGTGGCACTATCAGACTTACTATTGCGCTCACAACCTCAAAGCCAGGAAGTAAAAAAAAAAAAAGTTGAAGCCTGAGAGTGGAGCCCAACTCGAGTATTGGAAAACGGCCATGGAACCATGGAACCGAAAGTTAACGCGCAACTTCAGCGATCGTCCAATGGGAAGCCTGCAAATCGTGGCACGTCCGCCTTTGTGACGAAGTCACTGTACTTACGGGTACGAACCGGATGATCGCCGTTGACTTGGAACCGGAAGTTAACGCGCAACTTCAGCGATGGGAGCCTGAAAATCGTGGTGCGTCCTTTTTGACGACGTCACTTACGAACCGGATATTGTAACATGCATGCAAGCTTAAGGCACTGTCGATCGCACGCACAGACAAAACGGCCAGGGATGCATTCACGTATGAGTGCATTATTTGGGGTTGTCTCGTAGCGGTTCCCAAACCAATGGATTTTGGGGCCTCAGTTTGTGTGGCTGGACTGAGGTTTTGAGGTTAATTTTTTTCTCTCATTTCTAAATGCAACAATGAACATGTACTATATGGTAACCTATATAGACAACATACACGGCATGTAAATCAAACTCATTTGCATTCCGTTTTCAATATCCCTCCTGTATGATTACAATAATATCCTCTTCACAAATACAAGATTTTATTCAATATCTTTCCTCTTTCTGGTACAAAAATAAAACACAATTTCTCTGATTAAATGTATTTAGAACACCATGATAATGGGTGCCTCGGTCATCTTACATTAGCATTTATAATTTCATAACTCATAAAACCTGTGAAACGTGTGCATTTACAACTATTTTAAGTAAGCTTCACTACCTGTTAAAACAACTGTACAACACTGCCTTCACAAGAATATTTGGACTAAAATATCACTTATTTCAATAGGCCATGTTTCCCAACTGAAAACATTAAAATTATGATCAAAATGGCCCCAACCTTTTCTGAAGACACCTCTTCTTTTAAACAATTGCCACTCTGCAAAATTGTCAAAGCACTTCATCGCCAAGGGAGACAAAATTCTATTTTTGGCATATTGGAAATTAATATTTATTGTTGTCCTTGGCCAGAGGAGGACTGGTAATCATGATTCCTAGCCCTTGTAATTGTCACTGCAGGCTGAGCAACAGTGAATACATAAACACAGGCAAGACCAGGTTATCTATCTGTGTGGTGACAGCTTCTAAGACAGAGGTCAGGGTAACCGCCCATATGATTCCAGCTCGACATCTGTTAAGAGCAGCAAGACGTGGATCCAGGTAGACTAGCATACAGCAACCAAGGAGCTGACACAAAATGGCGGCAGATGTCCCCTCGAGAGTCTTTTTACTGCCTGTCGGTAAAAGTGGAAATGAATCTTGTCATTCAAGTGATATTTTTCATAATTAAAACACACTCGATACATCTTTAGCCTGAATAACTTATTTAAAATTCCAGGCTACTGGCACTGAAGCTCCACACTTTGCATAAAGTGTGACAAATACTCAGAAAACAACAGGCAAGTTCCAGCAACAAGTACAGTTGAAAATATCCCACGAATGGTGGATGGCTGGACTATCTAGTCGACCATTTTGGAACCATGCCCAAGGCAAGGTTGCAGCACTGGTTATCAATAGTCTTTTTCATTATTAAGTATAAAGGGAACCACTGACATAAAAATAATTGCATCAGATGGCAGAGGCCTGAATTGGAGTGAGAGATACAAACCAACAAACGAAAAGTGGGTGTCGATAGGATTTGGAGAATGGTTGAAGTAAGGCCATTGGATGAGTGGCACCGTATTGTGTGTGCACCATTGATAAAAAACAAACGGCTTGTTGTAGTGTAGCGCAGCGCAGTATAGCAAGCACCCGCACTTGCCCAGTTATAGAATTACAATTATGCCATCAACTAGAGTTCTCTATCATCCGTGCAGCTTGAATTTGTTTTCGAAAAGGGGGTCTTTGAGATTGTGTGAAATGCTTAGCTACCTGGCCATTTGGTCTTGCCGTAGAGGGAGCCTACAACAGACGCTGCCGTGTCACCAGCACCGAGGGATAAAACACCACTGTAAATGGCCAGTGAAATGCCTGCAAAAGAACATGGTTACAGAAGCTCTAATGCATGCATACCATGGAAGATTAATGAAGACAACTTATCAATATTGACGCCAGATGGTTTGAAATGTAATCCCTGTACTCTTCGATTCCGCTAAGAAATATCTGCATTTTACCATTCAAGTTCACAAATTTCAGAATCGGTGAGGCAGGGAAATCAAAGGTGATTTACACCCTGTGGACATTTCTGAACATTAATGGCAATATGTGAAAAATTCCACAGGAACTCTTGTCTGCTCAGACAAGTGTTCAGACCAGTGTTCTGGTGGCATAACTGAAGAGATAATAAGTAGAAACAGAGACTGCATGTACCTCACAGATCAATACTGAGCACAGTGAACTAAAACCTTGTTCGTTAATTCAGTGATAACAGAGTGTTGGACGGATGCCAGTCGTACTTTAGTCCAAAATTTTCAGACAAGGCACTGGGGTGTTCTAGCTCTTCTGAGGTTTCAATAACTGCAGCCAATAGCCAAGATAATCTCAGCAAAAAGATGAAAAAAGATTCAAACATTTATTATCATGATAAATAGAAGTCTATTTTAACATGAATGCCATACCAGTCTGACTCTGATCTCTGACCTCTGCGTATAGCCAGACGGGTAGGGCCATTCCGAGCAGCAGGTAGATGTGCGTCAGGATGGCAATGCCACAGTCTTGGTCATCTACGAACATGGTGAATGCATTGTGCAGTATGTCACCGACGGGCCATACGCGGAAGATCCTGAGAAACTGGATAGTAAATAAGTCAGATAGAATGAAGAGAAGCTGTAAATAAGCTAAGTTGGACACAGGTGTACATCAGTTTGAATACAAAAATCATTGAGGAAGGATCGACGAACCAACCTCTAATATCACAAAGATAAAGAGGGTTCCCGCTGATGCTAGGTGAAGTAGGGGAACATCAGACAGGATACCAGGGACGTAGATACAGATGGCCACGAGGTGGAAGTACTTCCTGACAATCGTGGAGGAGGACCCCCAAAGTGTGACCACGCCCACTGCTCCAATAACTAAAAGCAGCCACAGGCAGAACAGCAGCATCTGGAACAAAGGAGAGAAATTCTGATGAGCCGATATTCAACATGTAATCAAAGGGGTAGATACCCACACAGCTAACCTAATAAAAATCAAGATTTGACAAGTTTGGATGTTGACAATATGGCCTCTGGTATAAGGACACTCTACGGGCAAGAGTTAGAAAGTTGAATAGTAAGTTCAGGTGCCAGTCCAGTGCCATTTAAGTACCCTTTGGCACATTAAATGAGGTGCAATTTTGGCATTTTGTGAAGAGGTAGTTTGAAGCTAGCTTAATACACCATGTAAACTTAGCATCCTGAAGCCAAAAAGCACATTAAGAAGTTTAATTTTGCAGAGCCTATCGGCAATGGGGTAACAAGATCTACAGTCCAGGGGCTAAAATGGAACTTTGTTTGAAAAGCAGTTGTCTTAATTTGTTCATCTGAAAAAGAATCCCCCCACGCCAAGAAAGTTGGTAGTAATTTCTATAACGCTGTCCTTTCAGTTCTAATCCCCCCTGAGGGGGACCAACAGAGGGCATACTTTTCCAAGCAACGGAGGCTCCTTTGCAGGTTCACAAACGACTGCCATGCACATGGTCGCGTCACTACCAACAAAATGAACATTTCCCACCACCGTGGCTCTTTTCAACCGACGAGGGGGTGCTTCTGCTCAAGAGGGATACAGCTTGGAACTCTACTTTTCAATTCCACAACTGGAAGCTTCATGTTCGAGTAATTTTTTATTCCAATTATCACCAAGACTGAAAAGGAGCCATTGTCACAGAGATGATAGGGTTCTTACTCTTGTTCTTGTTGCAGTCACAAAGAACACGCCCCAGCGGAGTGGTTCTTGTCGAAGCAAGAATCCCAACCAGGGTAGAAGTATGAGAACGATGGCTGCTGTAAGGCACAGGTAGAAATAAGCAGACAACTTCTTAAAGGCTACGTCAACCTCTCTGTGGCCAAAAAAAATTAAAGCAAGAAAATTGGTTTGGCACAGAGAATAATTACGGTGACACAACTCCCATTTGCCATAGGCCCGACAGCTTTCTTGCAGTGTAAAACATCAGGTCAAGTGCCCCCAGCTGTTAGTTACTATTGTCTATTGCGAACTGTGGCTAAATCCTGAATGGCAGGCAAGGAGAATGTTGCATTGAGCACTGAACAAAAATGTAATGAATTACAAAATGTGTTTAGTTTCACTTGGGGCTGTTAAATTAAATTTTCCAAATAACACGTGCTTTGCAGTGTTACAAAACCGGGACTTCTTTCTATCCGCCAAGCAATCACAGTTAGGTTTTTAGAGACTTAGGGAATTGGTGATCAGTTAATGCAGTTAGTGCCTTTACTGTTCACTCACTTGAATGGACGCTGACCACAAGACAACATTCGTAACCTTTTGGCTACTGGATAAATTGCCACACCAAGCACCACACATCCTAGAACTAAAACCTGCAGAACATAAAGCACAGGAAATAATTCCTCTCCGAAGAGTGTGTTATAAGTTTTAAATGAGCATGGTTGAACCACTCAACATCTACAAGCAGACCAACAAAAAGAAAAGAAGCTACTCCCACCATTTGCCTCCCTGAGTGCTTAGAACAATTGGCAGCATTTCAAGAGACCCAATTTGTGATTTATACAGACAGGAATCCTAAATACACACGAGACAGTGCCAATGAGAAACCTCAATCTCAGATGCAAACTTTGTGGAAATTGCACGCAATTATAAATAGTGGCTGCCAAGGCACGCTCTCAGAATGATTGCTCCAGGGCTCGAAGTCAGTAGGAGAAAGAGGCTAAACCGCACCAGCCACTTCTGCCCATTTTTCACTATGTCAATGGAAGACGTTAGCCAGAAAGTCTCAATGTGAGACAGGGTTATAAAATCTCCCTACGAATTCACTTCAATACTTTTTCAACTAGTTTTTGTGCCTTCAGCCTTTTTTACAGATAACATACTTGGGTAGACTCTAAGCATAAGCCACTGTGGGGGGGGGCAAACGGAAAAAGGCCTCCCCTGAGGTTAAGCCCAAGTTTGAGCCCCTACAGTCCCATGAGTTGACTCGTGTGACGGTGCAGGAATTGCAAGGTAGAAAGGTCCCACTTCTATTAAGTACAACCCTCCTTCCGCCCAACAACCCCAACCACCCAATTTGACGTGTCCGTATCAATACCCTGCCAGCATACTCCGCTGTATCTCCCAACCAAAAATTTGAAAGACAACTTAAGGAAAGCGAAAATTGATGAAATTAAAAAAAAAAAAATTTATAACAGAACTGAAACTGGGAAGGTAACCTTTCACACCTGTAAGCATGCCAGTAGATTCCCTGTCCCTTCTGTCAGTGAGCAGGCTGCTTGCAGCATGAGCAGCGTCAGTGACTCGGAAATGAAAACGGCCTCGCCCAACGTGAAACTCCTTGGCAGGAAATAGAGTAACCTGGTTAGGAAGAAATAGGCTGTGAATGACAGCCCAAGTGGAGGCCGCATTACAAGAAACGAAAAGAAAACACAATCTTTCTTCTGTGGATGAATTTTGGACTATATTTCACTGCACATCTCCAACAGCCCCCTTCAATGGCACACAGCACAGAATTTAGTACCAAGTGACTTTCATAGAACATACCATACATGAAGTTATCACGACATTCAGGGCCATTGGTGGGGGCCACCACATAAGACTAGAGACAGTGTTGCCACGGTCACTGGATTCATTGACAGATAAACAATGTAAACAGTGTTGCAGTTTAGTACATTCCCAGGAGTACTCCATGCATGCCAATAACAAGAGAAATAATTGACATAATTTCTCATATTTTTCTTGCAAATGCAATTACTGACCAGTGTAATTGTCATGAGCAAGTCTACAAATACCTGCCCCTAGTATAAGCACAATTTTTTTTGTACAAAATGCATTTCTTCAGTACAGGCCAAAGATCAATGACAAAATCTAAAACAAGAACTAGGACGCTGAATACAAATGAAATAAAACAACAGAGTTTTCTGATTAATATGACTGATTGGTACATAGACCAATGGTGACAGAATGATTTCAAGGTGGGGAGTGAGTTGCGAGACTATCAGGCATTAGAAGACTGATTCATTAACCCTAACCCTCCTCAATCCTCCAACAGGTGAAGGATTGAGGAGGGTTAGGGTTAAGCCCCGCCCCACTGTGTTCTATTAAAGGACCTGCCAAAAGTGAGAGTCATTAGCCTCCCCCCCCCCGGGTAGAAATAGAGGGGGCCCAATGCACACCCCCCACCACAGGTGCAACAGAATTGGGTAATAGAAGACAAACCTGTGAGTGGTATGGCCACTGCCAAAACAACCAGGGTGACTAGTCGGTGTCTCAACCACGAAGACCACACAAGGAGTCCCAAGACGGGAATAATCAAAAGTTGATGCACAAAACGCTGCTCATAGGAAATGAGAAATCTGATCTTTGTCATGGCGCACAGAAGTATGGCCACTGGAGTCAGTGTGCACAGGAGAACCACTGCGATAAGGTAGTAACTGTCCACTTTGGAACTGCTCGGGTTAGCTTGGAGTGTGGATGCAGTTGCCAAGGGGATGAGAAGGTTGCCTAGCAACAGGCCAGAATTTGTGTGTGGTCTGTCAAGAGAACAGAAAATGAAATATAGTTTTAAGCCATGTAAAAAATGTTATTGTCAGTTATAAGTTAATAAACCAATGGAGATAAAGTTGAAATTCTTACTAAAAAAAGCCAAACAAGAACCTTTTTTCAAGCTGAATGTGCTTTAACTTCTTACTTTCAAGTATCTGGTCAAGAATATTTTAGTACTGTAAACTGTGAATGTTAATCACCTGAAATGTACTTCTGCCTTAAGGTGACCTCTGCTTGCACTTTCCATCTCTTGGGCAATTAATCCCAAAACAAGAACTGTTGGAGAAAAAATAAACAACATATGGTGTATATGAACAAGTCTGGGCATCAGCGTCTCAGTCACTGAAAACACTCGGAAACACCCTGATGGTTTGTTTTTAACATCTCCAAGCTTTAATTTTCTGAACAAATTTTGCCCAAAGTTAGATTTTTTTTTATTTTTTGAAGGTCAGCAACCTCTTGCAGTGAGCATTATGAACGAACAGATTTGTCTCTTGTCAAGGTTCCTCAGGAAAACATGCTCGGGAAACAGATCTGTGAACTTGAACACTGAAGCCGTACGCCAACCATTTTTCCTCCTAACCTGCTGTCAACCACACTGTGTTAGCTGGCTGCACATCAGAACTGATGATGGTTAGCACTCCAACCACAGTTACAGCACTTTCCAGCCACTGGGGAGCCTGGATTTCAGACCTCTGCATGTTGGTGATGACGTATCCGTGACTAGAGGCCGGACGAAAGTTAGCGGAAAATGGATGAAACACAAAAATGTTGACTTGAAACTTTGTGAATCCACACATGTACAATAACAAGGCTCTTGACATTCGGCATGTTACTTCATAAGTCATATTTTTTGGATTGTTCTGACCAGGCTCTAACAAAGTGACAGCACAAGGACTGCAGGTTAATACCAATTACTACTAGCAGGCCTATAAAATGGCAAATTTCTTGTACAACTCTGCTCCCGTTTATCCATGCAAGACATGACATTTCATACTTCATAGAGAACTTGGTAGTGCAGAAAAAGCATGTTAACTTGAAGTACGTGTAGGCCTAGGCCTGACTTCTTTTCCAGCTGAGATTTCTTTTCCAGTAGGTCTGCAGTCTAATAAAACTTTGGACTTTACAAGCAACCTGACAGCACCAGCAATATTTAACTGCATTTACACAAAGCAAGATCACACATCCTAGCCTTACACTGTATGAAAATCTACGTGTACGAAGTAGGTGTGCCCCACCACACGTAAAAGTACAATTTACCATGACAATAATTTACATCCATGTCAACAAAAAAGCAATAGGTACCTACAACCTGTAGCTAAATTGAATAAGTGGTAACTATTTCATTTCTCATTTATCGGTTTGGTAAGTTGTCAGAACTCAAATAATAAAGCTGGGTTTTCAAAAAGACATTCACCACACCAATCACACGAAGTTGGTGTTCGCTCAATAGGTCACCGTGGTTAACATTCCTCCTGCTGCCGGAATTAGTCGGGCTCCACGCATTTAGTGCGCTACTATAGCATAGCAGTTCGTCGAGGTCGTACCCCGACTGACAGCATACAGCTCCTGGAAGTTGCTTGCAGTTAGTCCCATCTGCTCAATTCACAGTCGGCTCATGGTGCGTCTGCTCATGGAGGAAGGAAAACAGATCTGCTTGAACTTGAAGGAGTTGCATCAATCAATTAGTTACTTTATTGAAATTGATGTTTTACATCTTTTGGGTTGATCGAACTTGAGCATGGTGAAGTTGGTTTCAGTCTTATAAGTTATATCCAGATCTTTGGACGGGGGTACGTCCTCTACTGAGTGGAGCGTTAGTAATAATAGTAAATTCCTCTTTTGCGATTTTGAACGTGATCGTCATATAAAGAGGAATACTACGCTCCACTTACTTAGTAGAGCTAAGACGGGGGTGGATTTTTTTTTTCTAGAAGCGACTGGTCTAGTATTTTCCAATTTCCACAATTGAAATTGCCCGCCTCCCCGCTTATGCTGCTCAGCCGCTGACGTGCGCTGGATACACATGTACGTCTCTGAACGTAGCTGATGTTCGTAGCATAGAGTGTTGGACATTGCTATCAAGTAGATGCATAAAAAATGCGCTTGTGTCGTCTGCTAATGATTTATTTTATTGACAGTACCTGCCAAGTGCCCAGAGCCAACATGTATGGCCAAGCCTTAAACTCTAGCAAGTTGTAGAATGGCAACACGAGAGCAAATCGCCTGGGCTGGTCTACTTATCACAGGGTGAGTTTGACCACTTTTTCACCTCATCACTGGTATAACAATGTTAGTGTCCCAGCTAATTGTTTGGCTATGCATGGCAAGCAGTGACAGACAATTATCATGAGAAGAAGCTGCAGCTAGCCGGTAGCACTAGCAGTGCTTTCCATACGTCACATGTCATTTCTCAGCCATAGCCAAGTGACTGGGACATTGGGTCGTATGAATAAAAAGTAGCATAAATTTGCTTTTAGTTTTACTACCATTATTGAAGCATTATCTTGTGAATAACAACAAAGCAAATGCTTTTACTTTAGTGCAATTGCTAAAAAGTATTTACCTTTTGCTCTTTAAGCTTGCGCTTGACAATAAGCTTTTTGCAAAAAAAAAAATACATCTTGAAAATAATTATTGCCATCCTACTTATCTGCCATGCTGAGGTCTCAAGATACAGCACCGTGCTGCACTGTGTGTGTCTGTACGTGCAGACAATGGAAGCCCTATTGTGCAAAACCATTTGACTGAAGTCAGCCACAAGCGTAAAGCATTTGGTACTATTTGTACAAGCAGGTGCTGAACAGTAAAAGAAACATTTTATGCATACAAATTCAAGCATTTGCTTATTCTTAATGCTTTTACTTCTCAGTAAATGCTTTTGCTGTTTGCTTGAACTTCATAGAATTTGTTAGTTTTTATTCATACGACCCATTGACGTTTGCAGTGGGGCTCTAGTTTAATACGAACAGTGCAAAGCAAAATTCACTTTCACCCAACAATAATGGAATATTTGTTTCCTCTAAACTTCTCGATCCACACCCATTCCTCCTAAAATATCCATCAGATTTTTGCATTTAATAGTGAATTAAGCCTCTTAAAATGATAAAAGAAGTAATGTTTAATTGTGGAGGAAAGACAGCTTCACATCAAGCAATCACAGTCAGCACTTCTCTGCTCCCCCTTCCCCCTGAGAAAAGGGGGTTACAAAATTAGACCATTCAATAACAGGTGTATACATGGAACTGTAGCTATTGATATTTTACTGGTATGGATTTTTAATGATGGCTACTAGTTTTGATTGATTGAATTTTAAGTAATTGGTGACATGACACATATCTCGAATTTAACTTGAGAAGCTGAAGAGAAATCATGACCCAGAATTGAAAGATTTTGTCGTAGCTTGTGGTGTCTTCTATCGTTGCAGGGTTTTGATTTATGGATCCCACTCCGTGTTATTAAGTCTTTGTAAGGTGGACGGCCAGATACCGTTCCATTCTACATCGGTCGTGGTGTTGATTGAAGCTGCCAAGGTCAGTTCCTGCTCTTGACGCCACTGCATGCCACCTGTGCAGTGATAGAGGTTCTAAGTTCCAGTATCATTGGAACTTTGGAAAGGTTAAGATTCAAACCATAATGATCCATGAATTCAGGATTGGGTTTCCGATCCAAATTTACATGTAGAGAAAGATTCCCCAGGTAATCGGAGCATTCTACTTTCCCTCCAACTTTCCCTCAAGAGAATACAATGCTTTCTTTTACATGTTTAAGTGTTACGTCTTTTTGTTTAAAATTACAGCAAGTTTATCATGTTCTTTCATTTTGACAAATGCCAGCTAAAACAATGTATTGCATTTGAATTGGTATTTCCTTTCCAAAAGTTAGTCCTTTCCTTGGTCATGTACTTGGCTAGCGGTGCACAATCTAGCAGTCAGTTCTCCCACTGTACATTCATCAAGAGTCTGTCGTATGCTGTTCCAGCCTTACTCTATGGAGTTAACAACAACATCATTGTGTATGCTCAGGAACACATGGACCCTGCAAGCAGTCAGGTTGGTAAAAAAAAAAAGACCTTGACGTTGCATCATCGTATGATTATCTTCAAAATGCCATCGCTCCAACAATAATTGCTTGTCAAGCTATACTTTGAGTCTCGATCCAACATTACAACTTCTGAAAGTGGAAATGCTTCAATACAAAGCAGTGATGTTGGTCACATTTTACGTGAACTGTCTTTATCATCAGGTTCTTGGTAACTTGAAGATTGTCACGACTGCAGTTTGGTATCGACTGGTGATCCATAAGAGGCTAACATGGCAACAGTGGCTTGCTGTTGGTCTGTTAGGAATGGCTGGCATGTGGTAAGACATTATGGGAAACAGAACGATTGTGCCAGCCATATGTAAGTCACGTGACCTAGAGTGGGTATGACTCCCATAGCAAAGTGTTATTTACCAAAAATGAAGGCGATTTTCGATATAGTACTTGGCATTCGGTAGTGTGAGTACTGTACTGGCCGTTTGTTTTACTTTTTAGTAAATGACAGTTATGACACTTTCCTATGGGAGGACGTTGTCTCTGTTGATGTTTGATACCCACAATAGGTCATGTGACTTAGTGGGCGCAATCGGTCTATTGGATGTCAGACTCAAACCCTTCTTTACTGCATACTAGGTTGAGAATATGTTGGACAGAAAAAAAGTCCACAGAAGAATTAAAAGCAAGGGCATCTCTTCTTGCCTTTTTGCCACAACCTTTTCACAATCTTGCAGAGGCGGAGATGAGGTCCTGAGGATTTTTTCAGTGAAATTTTGGCATCTGCGTGAATTTCACATTCAAAATCTTCTGCACCAAGATGGGAAACCAAGTGATGGAAAGGGTCCCAGATACGGACAACACCAATTTTCCTTAGAATGTAATAACAGTTGTCAGAAAGTGGTAACATGTCCTAAAAAGTGAAATTTGGGTAAGAAAAACTCTGAAGCATGTACTTAGAATATCAGGCAACTACCATAGCTTGGGCACAGGGGCATCACGTATTGTCCATATATGGGTAA